GCTATTTTTTTGGCCGAGCCTACGGGCTCGGAGAAACCCACAATAAAACCGGCCTTGTGCCATATTCGTTTCCCGTGGGTGAAATGATAAATACCCACATATATACATACACATAGACATACATACCTTCATACACATATATGCACACTCACATACGTATAAATACATACACACTTACGTATACTTATGCACATATATACATACATTCGCTCATACACATACACACATATGTGCACCTACATACACACATACACACCCACATATACTTACAGGCAGATAAACATACCTAGCTTCGCACACATACATGCATACTCACATGCGTATAAATACATACACACTAACGTATACTTATTCACATATAGACATACATCTGCCCATACACATACACGCATACACACATACGTGCGCATATATTCCCACACATACACACCCACATATACTTAGAAACATATACGCTCATACACATATATGTATACACTCATATACACACCCACACATACGCACCTACAAATACTTTCGCAGATACATAGCCATATGCACATACACTCATACATACAAACACATCAGCCATTTTACTCTTTATAAATCTACTTATAAGTACATAAGTTCTAATCTACTCCAGTCGAGTGTCTTCTTACCATAAATTGTGCTGTTCATAAGTGAACAATCTCAAGACAAAGGCATAAAAAACATAAAATTACACAATTACAAAAATCAGCCTCGAATTGCTCTAAATATTGAGTCGTAAAATGTCTCTCGCGGGAGAGTCAGTCGCCTAAATTGTAATGAAATTAGCGTCACCATGTCTTGGGACAATACAGAAAAAACAATTGCAAGGGCCTCGGCCAATCATCGTCTCTCTGTGAACATTACTCCGCAAGGAATTAAATCGTTTTTTCATTGCTACTCTTCTTATATTAACACAAAAATAAAGGAAAATAAAGCATCATTATTTCCTTCGTACGCCGACTTATTTCTGCCTTTATACGCATTCACTTACCACAAATACATTGTAGTAGAATTGATCGGTTGGAGATGCCACTTTGTAAATCACAAATCATGGGCCAACACTCTACCGCTCAAAGCTAAGCTATCCACAAATAGAATCATCGAAAAAAGAAACGAGCCAGTACAGCTTTTGTTGGATACTATTTCTCGTCTGTTCTCGTGAGATTTTGTAACTTATAAAAAGGAAAAAAGCAAGAACATCTATTTTGGTTAATCTTTTAATAGTCTTTAAACCAGAGTTTCCCAAATTGTGCTCTTTGGAGTGAGTCCCAGAAGCCTCGAAAAACTTTTTGTTCTATGTTTTATGTCATAATTAGGATTACGCCCAAAAGGAAACATTCTATTTTAGAACACAAAAAATATAATTTTAATAGTAATTATTTAAATGAAGAATTAATATTAAAATAAATTATTTAAAAAAAAACGAACGAATTTATGTAACAACTTAATATTTCTCCATTTCTGGGCGCAGCATATTTTGTTTTTTAGTTCTGATGAATCATTCAACAGTGTGTTACTATTCATTGTTTACCATCTCCTGCCAACGAGCTACTAACTGTTTAACAGCTCGACCTTAGAAATCACTAGGTTTTGATTCAAAAAGTTCATGAAGTCACGTTTTAAGCTCCATATCGTTGTTGAACGACACACCCCTCAAATTGCTAATTGTTAGAAAGCGACTGAAAAAGGTGGTATTTTGATGGGGCTAGATCAGGAGAATATGGTGAGGTGGCAGAAGTTCCCAACCGAGCTCTTTGTATAAGCATTGCCTTATATCGACCGAGTGGACTGGTGACGATGGAGGAGTGTGAAATTTGTATATATCGTTTAATTCGTCTGTCACACATGCACCGTATTTCTGGACGTTACGCATTGATTGAAGATGATGATCTACAATAATATCAAAGCTTGCCGTCTTCTGAGCCAATTTCCCAGTTGTCTCATGTCTTATTTTTAATCAGCGCAGTCAATCTGTTCTCATCAGACAGGTTGAGAGTCTGCGAGTTCAAACTTCCCCTTCCTTTACACAGGAAAGCCGTTTCTGTGCCATTCTGTCGGAAATGGAGCCATCTCCGTGCACAGCGTGAATGTCTCGCGCAGCAGTTTTGTGACTTTGATTAAAATCAAAGAGATAATGTTGTCGAACATGCGCATTCTTGCCTACTTGGCATTCCTTCTTAAAACGGGCGTCGAATCTGAAACAAAATTTCAGTAAAATTAGTCAAAGGTTTCACGGAATGAACCGAGTTACGAAGCAACCAAAAATGCTATGGGAGATTATTCTTCGAGATCATTCGCAGATCAAAAAAAGAAACAAACAAACAAATAATGACACAGTCGTGTTTATGTCTATGAAAATGATTGAGAGACACATTTGTACAGTATTTCGCAATACTTTTTAAGATATTTTTAGCCGGCATACTTTCTTATTATTATAGACTACATATACATTTGGCGCGCATATTTAAGTTTCTACCGCTTTCTTTTTTTT